GCTCCCCTGTGCGCGACTGTTGTCGCTCTGCTTTGTTTTGATTATCTCGGTGGAAATGAGAAAACGATGGTGATAATGGACGAGTGGGGGGGGAGAGAGATTAATATATATGCGTATACTTATCCGATCGATCGATAATCCGATTTTCGCCGAAATACTGTTAAAACGCTCGATTTTAAATCGCGAACATTCTAGCGATCGAAATACGATTTTAGTCGAAACGGGATGTTACAATTCTCCCCTCCTTAAAAGATTTCGTCCCCGAAATCTATCCTCGAGTCGATGGTACAAATCCGCTCGTTCCCCCCCTAACCTACACTATCACAAATCTTGTTACTACCTTACTTTTAGGTTAGGAGATTCATAAAATAGAGAGTAACACATAACACCTCAAGTTCCCATGTTTAGGTTTGAAAAACCTATACTGGGCTATCACAACAAAAGCACATCAGCAAGTTCAAAACATAACTTAGTAGGCAAGATTGTTAACCTGCAACGTAGGTTGCCAGTAATACAAGGTTATATCAACCTACAAAATGGTTGTCACCAGATCATCAAGAATCATATCCATGTTAAAATCTCTACCACCACAACTCATCTTGTTGACATAATCTAAAATCAACTACATTGCATAACTAGCCACCATACTTCTCGATCGGTTAGTAGTAACACTGAAAGTACTTCTGTGCAAGCTACAAGGAAACATTGGCCTTAGAGTGATCCACACACCATTAAAAATTTCTACCAAAGTCATTACTTGGACAACAAGATAAAAACTCCATAAAATTTTCAAAACCTTTTAAACCATAACTTTTCAAGATTCTTTCCAATGCTCAAAAACATGTTTGACCATGTGCAATTGACTATGCAACACATCATCACCTTTGGTCCCAATCCTGGAAAGTTTAGTGCAAATACAGGTATGGAGTACTCCCTCCCCTTACGAGGGTGATCAGTCCTCAAGAGGGAAAGTAACATACCCATAATGCAGAAAACAAACCAGCTCTGATACCAAACTGTAACACCCTACCCTATATGTTTTGCCTAATCATACTGTTCATACAACTGCAGCGGAATTAATCTCGGGTGTTACAATAATTATCAAAATTTACCTAAATAAAATTTCGACATGAATTACTCGCGTAATGGGCTAACAGTTCTTGCAACTTATCCTGCAAAATAATTCATCACAAACATATATACTCACAACCATATGCATTGGCTTTTCATAGCCATAGTCACAGTTTCATACTACACAACTGCATACGAAACTTATACATACCATAATCGTCACAACTTACACAGTTACACAACATATACACATATCATCAATTTTCCACACCTGTGGATATCTCACACTACATCAGAAGCTAGTATGCACATGAAAAACGTTCTCAAAACATTTTTACAAAAAGGTGTGGATCACTGGCCAAAATCCCGAGTAGTAGTCCAAGCACAGAATGGTTGAAGACCATACCTCATCTTGCCTTCAACTCTTGCTCATCTCCCACCTATACACCTATCTACTGTTGCTGATGATGATGATCTGCTTACACATAGCATAAGCAGAGAAGAAGAATAAAAGAGGGTCAGCTCATAGCTGAGTGAGATAATCATAGCATCGTGAGTTCATAACATAGCATACCACTACCATACATCTAGCAAACAAGCCAAAACACTAGGATCGGACCTCAGCCATCCTCATATCCCAATAAGCAAAAGACTCAACCACCTTGACTTATGCATATGCATCTTATCATGTTTTACTTATAGGCGCCTGGCTACTCCCATGCTAATAACTCTCCCGGGAAACATACCCCACATCCCGTCGGATGTAGTCATACATACCCCAACATCCCGTCGGATGTGGTCAACATACCCCACACCACTATGGGTGTAGTCATACCCCGACACCGCTCTGGGTGTGGTCATATCTCATAAGAATTCTTCAGTCACCACCACATGAGAGGTGTGACTATCATACATATCATAATAGAGTAATAGCATAGGGAGCCCTAATTACTATGTAGTTGACCGTGAGACCACAACCCTCATATTTGGTATCCTTATACATGATTCATATCTCATCTTGCTTAATCATAATTCATTACTTGCACATGTACTTGACCTGGCCATAATTGGCTCAACATAGGTAAATCAGGAGTCGGATAATTGCACTTCCTCGGGATAAACCCTCGTGCAAGTCATTCTCTTTAAACATCATAATATCACCCTGGGAAGTTTATTTCCCCCACTTGTGAATCCAAATACAACCACAATATCACATCATATCAAAACACCTGATCGAAAAACCATGAATTCATATCAACGGTTAAGCCACAAATGGCAACATGTATGCAATCATCAACATAAACAAGGTCCATATCGGCTAGGGCAAATCAATAATATCATACAACAGTCCAGGGTTCATCATATAGCACAAAAGTCCATACACCCCTAATCATGTCATTCTAGTTCACCTAGGTCAATTCTAAGCATCAATATAATTATCGTGATACGACAAACCCGGTATGCCGTGCTAATCCCTCACCAGTTCTGGTCGTTCAAACACCGGTTCTAGCCTCCGGTACTAAAACATCAATTTCACGAACGAACCCCGAATTAAAATCCGAGACCGTCCTAATATCCCCTGCAGTATCCCCGTCAATATGAGTTCTGGGCTCCGGGTCAAATTCTCGATATAAACACATCAAACCCTGGCCGGAGCTAAATTCAGCGGTTTGGACCCCGGCCTAATTAATAGCCGAAATTCAGGGATTAGAACTAGGGGATTGATTACCTCGCTGCAGGAAGCTCGTATATGAAATTTGGGCTCAATCCGGCTTCCGGATACCCCGAAACCCTAATTTGGCTTATCGGGAATTCAAAAAATTCCTGAACCAAAAACTCGTTTTAAAGCTCTAAATCGATAAATCACGATGTATAGATGAATTAAGAATTACTTACGGGATTTTTGGATCAGTGTAGCTCAAGAATCGAGCTAAGGAAATTTTCCCTGAGCTCCCCTGTGCGCGACTGTTGTCGCTCTGCTTTGTTTTGATTATCTCGGTGGAAATGAGAAAACGATGGTGATAATGGACGAGTGGGGGGAGAGAGATTAATATATATGCGGCCGCTTAATTAATATATATATATATATATATATATATATATATATATATATATATATATATATATATATATATATGGCGAGTTCTATGGTACCCTGGGTGAAATCCGGGGTACCGCATACATTGAGTATGAAAACACTATCTAGACCTTGAATTGACCGATCTTTCGGACATGATACTATACTCTAACACTTAAAGAGCAAAATCTAGGTGTTAACTCTCCCAATCTTATACTCCAAGATCAATTTAATTAGAAATAATAATCGACGGTTATGATTCATCCAAATATAGGCACAAAAAGGAATGCACCATCTTAGGGTTTATAGATTATGATTTAGATAATTATGACCTAGGGTTCACTCATTAAGGGTTAGGGTATAATATCAGACACAAAAATCCTGGTAATTCGAGGTCTAGATAGAGTTTCCATACTCGAGGTATGCGGTACCCCGGATTTCACCCGGGGTACCATAGAAGCCACCATATATATATATAATTAATACGTATACTTATCCGATCGATCGATAATCCGATTTTCGCCGAAATACTGTTAAAACGCTCGATTTTAAATCGCGAACTTTCTAGCGATCGAAATATGATTTTAGTCGAAACGGGATGTTACATTTTTCTCGTGGATGTTTCTCACCAATCAATCACACCCACCCTACCCTTCGATCCTACAATCAACTCGGAATCAACGACATCAACAAATCGTTAACCTCGTTCCCCTGTTCTTCACCCATGCTCACATTGGGGACAATATGTTTTGTAGTGTGTCGACGGGGCCGGGGGGCGGGGGGTCGTATTAATGCTTGTGGAATGTTTGTTATCAATTGATCTTTCTTATACTATGAATGTTTGAATGCTTCAACGAGAGATTTTGAGGGCTCCAAGTTGGCTCATTTGCTTGCAATGCAGTTACTTGCTTCGGATTGTTGAATCTTGCTCTTCATTGTCTTGATCAATGTTGAGGAACGTAGTGCGTGGGATGTCTTGAGTCGAAGTGGTTTTGTTTGATTCCTTTATTTAGGTGGGTATGTATGTTTGAAAAATAATATGTGATAGGTTTGCATGTGAGCGAACCCTAGTTCTCTTGGTTAGACCATTAGAAAGGTGCTCGGTTATGTGCTTTCTCGTGTTCAAAAAGAAAAAAGAGGAAAAAAGAGAGAGAATAAAGTGGGGTGTAGTTTCTAATGCAACATGGTGTGGCAATTCGTTCTAGAGAAATGGGAATGCCTTTTAGGACAATGTGCATGAGAGACCGGATAGCTTTCCATCCTCCCATGTACTTCCTCTCATGGGCCGAGGTATAGGTAGGAGAATTTATCCCTACTTGCCTTGCTAACAAGCACACAATAATAAGTGCCTAAGTGCACATGCTCATCTTAATATGAATGACTACCCGAATATGGGCATGGTTTTAATTTTCTACCCGTTTCATATGTGGGTATGGGTATGGGTAAAACCCGAACTATATTGGGTAGGGTAACGGATATGCACTATCCATCCCCGAACTGACCCATTGCCATCCCTAATCCGATCTCCCAATTGGATCGGGCGCAAACGCCTACGAAAAGGAATTTACCAAAAAAATACAACAAACTAAACAAAAGAAATCATAAGCAAATACACAGTGCGTGCAATGTGGGTTAAATAACTATAAACCATATTCCTAGAAATGTTTGTATTTCTTTGGTGAACTGCGGTAATTGAAAAACTAGCTTTTACCCGACCCATTGGTCAGATGAATTTCGTTTCATTTGTTGTTGTTTTATGTTAATACATTTATTTTATTTCGAAATGATTTTGAATTTTCTAAATAGTTTACTAATGATTTCAAAACAAAGTCGAGCTGCAGGAGAAAAAAAAATGGGGCGCTTTGCTCCGTCCTCTCTCCTCGAAAAAACCTCTAGGGTTCTTCTGTGCGTCTTCTCCTACCTCTTCGCTGTGTTCTCTAGGGTTGAGACCAGGAAGTTCACGGCATCACCTGGATGGCCGGTTAATCTTGGAGAAGAAATCGCGACGGAAGGAATCCGTGAAAGAAAGAAGGGCGAAGGATTCTTAGATGAAGTCGAGATCTCAGGTGGCGATCTATTTTCTCGCGATTGGGAGTTATCGCCGCAAAAGGGAAATCTCTGGAAATATACCCAAATCCGCCGGTGGGATGAAATCTCAAGGAAAAAATTGGGGATAAACATGAAATCAGAATCGGTTGCAGAGACGGTGCATATACTGGCACCGAAATGGGTATATATTACCTGTGGTCATAGGTTGGATCCTATCACTGAGTTTCTACAAAAAACTGCGCAAAAGGCAGAAGAACCAGAAGAGCTGGGTTTACAATACCATAGAGGTAATAAAAACATGATTGAACAGATCATTCTTCGATTGTATATTATTTGGCTCGTCCCCTACGTTGGTGCTCTGGTGTTCATTGCCCTGTTTCGTATCTTTTCCCAGCATTTTCAGGCTTGTGTTAGGAACGAAATCATGGCGGGCGAACCAATGGACGCGGACCAGATCGTGGAGTTTGAGTTGGATGATGTCGAGGACAGCATGAAGAGGGCTAAGCTGAGTCTAGTTGGTCGGCTCTTCATCGACAACCCACCCAGTCTGAAGACAATCCAAAAGATTGTTCAAGGTGAATGGGGATGTGCTGGGAACGTGACAGTCATTGAGGCTGGCTTCTCCAGTTCTTATTTGATGACGAAAGGGACAGAGACTGGGTTCTGCAACGTACACCATGGAAAGTGAAAGATTGTAGTTTGCAGCTGCAGGCGTGGGAACCAGTGACGCCGGAAGTGGTGGAGTCTCTAACGAAAGCCCCCTTCTGGGTCCAAATGTGGGGTATACCCTCACACTGCCGAACCATTGCGTTTGGGAGAAGAATGGCGGAGGCTAAGTTAGGGACGGTGCTGGACGCAGGACTGTTTGGTATCCGCGGAGTCCTGGGACACTTCGTTAAGGCTAGAGTGTCCTTGAATGTTCTGGAGCCGCTTCGATCCCAGTTGTTTGCTAGCAACCCAGTGGTGGGGAAGTTTTGGTTTACATTGGTGTATGAACATCTCCCCCTCTATTGCTATCACTGTGGGCGATTTGGTCATACTGGCCAGAACTGTGCGTTCTCGCCTCCAGCTGGGGAGGAATACTTTGGCCCAGGGTTGACGACAAAGGAGTCGGGGCATCGGTTGAATGAGAAGTTGATACCGATTCATGGAGAACCTATCCAAACATCAGTATGGGATAATCCTATTACACAGGGGAAGAAGCGGAATGGGGAGGAGGCTCAGATTGGGATGGCTACAAGGGAGGCGGATGAATAGAGCAGGGAGACGGTGTTGGCCTTTCCAGCGTGAGCTCCTTAGGCGAATCGACAGAGAACTTCACAAAAAGGAAAAACAAGTAGCTGCTGAGGGTGTCGAGGTGAGTCAGGGTGGGAAGCGTGGATCGAGTACAGGTGAGGCAATACAAAAGAAGGAGGTGGTGACCCAACGCGAGAGGAAGGGTCCAGAGAAACCCCAAAGCTCGAAGAAGGAAGCGTCGGACTCGCGGGGAAAGAAGGCGGAGATTGAAGGTAAAGCTGGTTCGGCAGCTTCTATGAAGAATGGGGGGAAAAAGAGTCGATTAAAATCAAAATACCCTTGAAAAAAACTGGTGGGGAGCAGGGGATACCCAAAGGAGAGGTTTCCTCGAAGGAAGGTAAGGAAATAATGGTGGGGAAAGGAAAAGAAGATGGGAAAGCAAAGGGAAAGATGGGGCAATCGGCGATCCAGGAATATGGGGGTAGGGGAGTAGTTGGTGGAGGTGTGGTGATCAAAGAGAGGCTGGGCAAAAGTAAGAAGGCAAATGGTGAGGAGAAAGAACAGGAGGTGTTGGGGCAGGGGGCGGCAGGTGAAGGTGGGGATAATGATGGACCCAATGTTGAGGAGAGTAAGGCTGGAGCTGAGATACACACACCGAATCAGGGTGCAGCAAGCGAACGCAAGGTGGCGTTTCAAATGAAGGCGCCAGATCCGGAAGATGATCCTGATAAGAAACGTACTACAGGGATGGTAGCGGATCTTGCTGAGGACCCTACTCCGGTCAAGAAACTCTGTTTAGAGGATGTTCCGGATTCTGAGATTGAGGACAAGAATGCAACGGTGGAGGAAGCCAGCCGGGAGTGGCCCTAGGTTGATAAATGAGACTTCTCACGTGGAATGTGCGTGGGATTGGGCCGTCCATCACATTTCAGTCTTTATTAGGAGTAGTTCGAGTCAATAATCCTGATGTAATTTTCCTTTCTGAAACTCGTTCGAGTCGTAGAGTGGTCTCTCGTAGGCTGCGGGCCTAGGTTTTTCGAATTTTTATTTGGTCGATGCTGTCGATTCAGCAGGAGGGTTGGCAGTTGCGTGGTCTCTTGAGAGCGGTGCCTCAGTGTTGTCGAGTTTTTCTTTCTTTGTTTCGGTTAGTTTGCGGATTAATGAAATAAATGTAGTTGTAGTATTTGTTTATGTGAGTTGTCGTGAGCAGGAGCGTATTCTTCAATTTGACAATTTACGCAGTTATTGTGCGGAATTACAGGTACCATATTTGATGGTTGGGGATTTTAATAGAATCCTGTCATCCGATGAAAAAAATGGGGGGAAATCTGTGGGTCCCGGCTCAATCTCAGAACTTTCGTTCGTTTGTTGATGGTTTGGGCATGCATGACTTGGGATTTCGTGGCAATCCATTTACTTGGTCAAATCGGAGAATGGGGGACGCTTGTATTCAGGAAAGACTGGACAGAGCCTTTGCCTCAGACCGGTGGGTGGAGCGATTTCCAGAATCATTTGTTAACCATGGCACTGACCTAGGGTCGGATCACCGGGCTCTGATTGTCGCGGATAGAGAATGTAAACGAGCCACGAAGCCTCTTTTTCGTTTTGACGCTAGATGGGCCTCCAATCCGGAGGTGAAGCCGTTTGTTGAAGAAATCTGGCAGGAACACATCCAGGGGTCACCCATGTATCGGTTGTGGATCCGGCTGAAGAGATTGAGACATCGTCTTCACCAATGGAGTAGGGCTGGCACTTCTAATTCGGCGAGACAAATTCGTACGCTAGAGACGGAGATTGCTGCCCTCAAAACGGAATACCCTATTGATTGGGAACAAGTGAATAGGTTGGAAGGAGATCTTACCAGGAAATGGGCTGAGGAGGAGCTATATTGGAGGCAGAAATCTAGGATCCGGTGGCTGAAGGTGGGGGACCAAAATTCCTCGTATTTCTATACGGTGACTAGGGCCCGACGGAGAAGGAATTTTGTGGAGAAGTTGCTGAGTGAGGAAGGAGAGTGGGTGGAGGAGGAGGAGGAAAAGGCGGGGATGGCGGTCAACTTTTACTCGTCCCTATTTACCTCGGAATGTGAGGAGGAAGGAATATGGGAGAAAGTGGATGCATTACCCATCGATCGGAGGGTCACTGATGAAATGAACACCAGCTTAACGGCAGAGGTGACCCCGGAAGAGATCCGGCGTACGGTATTTGGAATGGGTTCAACACAGGCTCCGGGGTCGGATGGCTTTACGGGCAAGTTCTTTAAGAGCTTTTTGAGCATTGTAGGGCCTTCGGTGGTTGAAGCTGTGCGCTCATTTTTTTGCAAATGGGCGTATTTTGTGTAGCTTTAACCACACGTGGCTCACGTTGATCCCTAAGGTGGACAAAGTTGAACACATGCGCCAACTAAGACCGATTAGTCTTTGTCAGTTTGTCTATAAGATCATATCAAAGATTATGGCGGAAAGGATGGCAAGCTTTCTACCGGACATTGTTTCGTCGGGCCAAAATGCTTTCATACGGGAACGCCAGATTGTTGATAATGTTCTTATTGGGCATGAGATAATGCATTACCTGAAAATTAAGAAGAAAGGGAAGAAAGGGTACACCGCTCTGAAGGTTGATATGGAAAAGGCCTATGATAGAGTGGAGTGGTCGTTCTTACTGGCTGTCTTAAAAAAGTTGGGTTTTAGCCCGGTGTGGATCGAGTGGATTCGGGAATGTGTGTCGACATCGACTTTCTCGGTTTTGATGAATGGTAAACCGGTTGGGTTTTTCCGGGCAACCAGGGGGCTACGACAGGGCGATCCCTTGTCGCCGTTACTGTTTGTGTTATGTACGGAGGGTTTTGCGGCTTTACTTAGACATGCAATTGCGAGGGGGAAAATTGAGGGGGTACGCGTGAACCCTAGGGCTCCACGGGTTACTCATCTCTTTTTTGCCGATGAATCTTATCTCCTCTTCAAAGCGTCACTGCATGGGTGCAAAGATTTATTAGAAGTGCTGAAGGAGTATGAAACACTAAGTGGACAGAAGATGAATCTGGCTAAATCGGTTGTCTGCTTTAGTGCGAACTTTGAGGTGGAGGAGAAGCAGGAGATGGCAGAGCTGTTAGGGGTGGGGGCGATTGGGGTTCAGGATAAATACCTGGGTCTACCGTCCTTGATAGCCCGTTTGAAGGCAGATACCTTTCGGTTTTTGGAGGAAAAGCTTCTCCAAAAAATTCAAGGGTGGAAGCAACGACATTTGTCTCCGGCTGCGAAAGAAACTTTGCTATAGGCAGTGGCGGCAGCCCTACCGGTACATGCGATGGCTTGTTTCAAGATTCCTGCAACTTCTTGTAGGCGTTTGAACAAGCATATGGCTCGGTTTTGGTGGGGTTTTGTTGAGGGTCGCCCAAAGAGTCATTGGGTGTCTTGGAAGAGGCTTTGTCGGAGTAAGCATGAGGGTGGCTTAGGGTTTCGCCGGTTTGAGCTCTTTAACCAGGCTCTTCTGGCGAAAGTGGCTTGGCGGATCCATTCAGAGCCACAATCCCTGATAGCTCAAATTTATAAAGCTAAATATTTTCCAACGGGCTCGATTTTCACGGCCACTACGCGATCCCGTCCATCCTGGGGATGGCAGGGGGTGTTGTTTGGCTGTCGATTGTTACGGCAGGGGATGACTTGGCAGATTGGATCGAGGGAGACCATACCAATAGTGTCAGAAGGTTGGATTCCTTTAGTCCATCCTTCAACACCTGGTTTGCAGATGGGGGTGCCGTTGGCGGGTACTGAGATGGTGTCGGAGCTGATCGATCCGGAATCGGGAAACTGGTGTATGGATTGTTTGAATTCGGCATTTCATCAAGAGACGATTCGAGGCATTCTTCAAATCCCGTTACCGCAGATGGCATTACCGGACAGATTGGTTTGGAGGGAGGACCCTTCGGGGGTTTATACGGTTAAGTCCGGGTACAGGTTAGCGGAGTGTAAGTCCCGTCGTGGGTGGGGAGGTAAAGCGGAATGTAGCACACTGGATCGAACGCTTTGGATTAAGGTTTGGGGTATGCCAGTCCAGCCGAAGCTCTTGCGTGGGAGCTTTTGCGGCGGATCCTACCAACGATGGAAGCATTGCGTGAGAAAGAGGTGGAGGTCCTTGCGAGGTGTCCAGTGTGCTGGGCGCCGGAGGAGTCCACCGAACATCTCTTTCTGCAGTGTCCGGTGGCGCGAGGATTGTGGGAAGCCGCAGGGTTGGCTGCTGAGCTAGAGGTTTTGCCGGTGGGAAGTTTTAACATATTTTTTACGCGATTTTTGGAGAGAGACGGGTCACCTATGCGTGTTGTGCGTTTGATGTGTTTACTGTGGAGGATATGGAAGGGGAGGAACTTTGTGGTCTTTGAGGGACAGCAGATTCTCCCGAGTATTCTTCGACAGGAGTTTCTACATCAAGTGTCGGAATGGGAGCAACTTCCCCAGGGGGATGGGAATGGTGTGGGTGAGCCTTCGGGGGGCCTTGGTACTGATCAGCCTACGGTGGATGCTGGTTCTGTGGACGGTGTGGTATGCTCCTTTGATGGGGCAGTCCGTGACGGGTCCCGTGCGGCAGGTGGGGTGGTCTTAAGAGAGCCAGGGGGAGTGGTGTTTGCTGCGCAAGGGCTGATGTTTACCGGTCTGCAAGATCCGATGCTTGTGGAACTGTCAACGTTGCGGGATGCGATGCGGTGGTGTCAACATCGTGGCCTGGAGGCTGTTACGTTTGAGGGGGATGCCAAGATTGTGATCGACAAGGTTAACGCTAGGGATGTTCGTGCTGCTACTGGTGGTGCTCTGTTTGAGGAAATTCGCCAGCTTCTCTTGCTGTCCCCAAGATTTAGGGTGAAATTTGTGGGTAGACAGAACAATAGGGTAGCCCATATGGTGGCTAAGAAGGCCCTGTCTTTGTTTCCTGCGGGTTGTAATGGGTTTGATTTTTGTGGGTGGCTTAGGTCACAGGCCTTGTAACTTTGGGTTCTTGTTTAATGCAAGCTATCTTTTCGACAAAAAAAAAGATTTCAAAACAATCTCTTTACTACTTGTTGATTGTGATATTAGAGATAATTAATTCATATGTATTTGTGTTGATCAGGTAATCCTAGCATATTGCTGCCTATATTTTTTTCACATTTCAAACTAAAATTTTGCACTTCTTATTGTTAGAATAAATTGTTTAAAAATACTTCTTCACAGGATTCAGTACTATTAATGTCTATCTATTGAATCCAAACGAAACTAATTAGACAATTATGCATTGTAGTTGTAATTATAAACTCTGAGAGATTAGGCTATTGGCAATATTTGAAAGTTGTGTGGCGGGTTGCTGTACAATGTGTGGCCTTGTATAGTACATATTGTAACCTTTTTAAAACAGAAATTAGTTGCGATTTTCCTTTAATGAAGTAAAACTGTACTTACTGATGCTTTCAACGTAACCTACCAGGTTCCTTGCTTAGTTGTTAATCAATGTGAATGGCATTAAGCATCTAAACTATAGGTGTCAAAACATAGCCCGACCCGATTAACCCGACCCGCAACCCAAATTGACTAAAAGTCAACAACCCGTAACCCGCCCGACCCGCAACCCAACTAACACGCAACCCGACTAACTCGCAACCCGATTAACCCGAACCCGATTGACCTGCAACCCGACTGACCCGCAACCCGTTTAACCCGAACTCGATTGACCCGAACCCGACTAACCCGTAACCCGACCGACTCAACCCGAATTTCATCTAATCCACTTGAATAATTATAAAAATACACAATACATAGTTTTTCAAAATAAAATTTTTCATTCTATAACTTAAGTAAAATTATTTTGTCATTTCGTATAAGAAATTTTAAAAATATGAAACTCACTTGATATTACGTATTTTAAGAAAACTACAAAAATTGAAACATGAAGCTTACTTGAGATCATGACAATATTAATATAATATATAAATTAAAATTTTGGTTAATTTAACTATTCAATAAAATTATCAATTAAATATAATAAAGTAAAGTAATATATTTAATAATTTGATATTTTTAAAAGAAGAGGAAAATTTTGGTGTATTCAAGATTTTGGGAAGAGAAAGAAGAAGGAACTTTGGTTCTTTAAATTTTTTAGAAAAGAAACAAGTGGTAATTTTGGTGGTTTTGATATGTGGGAAGAGAAAGAAGTGGGAAAGTTTGATTCTTTTGATTATGAAAGAGAAATAAGGAGGGAAACTTTTGACTTTTCAACTTTTTGTAGAAGGAAAGAAGATGGTAATTTAGTTCTTTCAATTTTATGGAAGAGAAAGAAGAGGGAAAATTGAGTTTTTCTAATGTATGGAAGGAGAAAGAAGGAGGGAAATTTTAATATTTTTGTGAAAAGAAAGAAGGAAACAAATTTGGTGTTTTCAATTTTTTGGTTTTTCATAATTTTAGCTTTTGAAATATGAATCTTTAACTTTTATATGGAGGGCATGACTAGTTAAAATTGCTTTGAAGGCTAATATGTATATATGTATGTAATTTTTTATGGGCTAATAAATAAATTAACCATTAGTTACAACAATTTATACTAAACTTGATAAGTAATATTTGACGGCTCGTTGTTTAGGATATAAAGTATATGGTTAGGGTATAAGGTACATATGGTTTAGGGTGTATATGGTTAGGGTATAAGATATTGATGGTTTTAATGGTTCTAAGTTTTTTATTAACATATGTTCACTTGAAGTCATTTGAAGTCTTTAACTGCAGGAGATCCCTTTTTAATTTATGTTTATGGTACGTGGTTAGGGTACAAGGTATGTGGTGTAAAGTATAGGATATATGATTAGGGTATAACAATTAGCAAATATCACTTTTTATCTATGTTTTGAAAATCAAAGTATGAATTTCACTTTTAAATTAACTATACTAGCAAAATCACAACTCAAGGACATATGGTTAGGGTATAGGTTATGTGGTTAGTGTATGATGTATTGATGGTTTAGGGTATACAATCAACAACATATACTAACTTAATATTGTTGATTGAGGGTAAAGCTAAGTGTATATGATATATGTTATTGAGTAAGTTATGATTGAAGTCACAATAATTTTACTAAATTTGATAGGTAATCTTTAATGGTTCAATTTTTAGGATAATTCGAACAATTTTACAAATAACTCGTTTGGCAACAGTTTACTAAAGTTATTTGGGCAATGAGTTATTTTGAAATAACTCCTTTTATCACTATGCTTTTGCCAAATACCACACGCCAAATACCAGATTTGCATGGTTATACTAAACGAGATACTTTAATCCAATTACTACTGAATTAATACTAAAATATCAAATAAATAATTAACGG